AAAACTAACTTCTTGAGTCCCACTAAAGATAAACTGACAAACATTAATGATGCGATGCTAGATGTTCTTTTTTGACAACTTTATATATATTTTTGCACCCAAATAAACTTTATTGTGTTCAGTACCTCTTAAAATAAATTTAGTTGTTAAAATTACACCCTAACTCACTGTAAAATTAAAAAAATACTCATTAATTATTAAGATAAATTTAAATTAAAACTTATAAAATATTACACTTTTTTGGAATACAAAGCCCATAAATAGAATCAATATTCTTTGCCTTCGTTTGTGAACCAAGTTTCTGTTTTACTATTCATAAAAATTTAGAGTAAGATTACAATAATACCTCCTCCTTTTTATTTTATTAAAAAATAAATATTAACGGACGCCACTGTTTCGATCATTGGAGGTCGGAGATCCGCCCACCAGTGCTCAGGATTGGACATCCTGTGGCCGTTACTGTAGTTCCGGTGGCGGGAATTGTTTTTGTTTAAAACAAGGTGGTTAAGGGAAGGTTTGAACCCATGACCCCTTGGCACACCAAAAATATTGTAACCACCAAGCCAAGCAAGTCATTCAACCATATGATGCAAATAAAAATATATATAACAAAACAAAAACAACTGTCCAAATATAAATGAACAAGTGAAATTTAACGATTTACAAGTGAAATTCATTAATTTACAACAACAATTAGGCAATCTACAAATAACATAATAGAATTCATAATCCCAAATGCAAGTATTTAAATCCAAATGAGCAAGTGAAATTTGAAGATTACAATAAAAGTTTACGGATTTACAATCCAAATTTCGCAAACACAAGAGAATTCACAACTCAAAATGTAAGTGTTTGAGTGTAATTGTTAATAAAATTCGACGATTTACAAGTGAAATTCAGTAATTTACAACAAAAATTAGACAATTTACAAATAACATAATAGAATTTATAACCCCAAATGCAAGTATTTAAGTGCAAATGAGCAAGTAAAATTATCGAATTTCACTTGTAAATTGTCAAATTTCTCTTGCAAATCTATAAACTTTTGTTGTAAATTTTCAAATTTCATTTGCTTATTTACACTTAAACACTTGCATTTGAGATTGTGAGTTCTATTATGTTATTTGTAAATTGCCTAATTTTTATTGTAAATTGTCGAATTTCACTTGCAAATCCATAAACTCTTGTTGTAAATCTTCAGATTTCACTTGCTCATTTACACTTAAACACTTGCATTTGGGATTGTGACTTCTATTATGTTATTTGTAAATTGCCTAATTTTTGTTGCAAATTGCTGAATTTCACTTATAAATCGTCAAATTTCACTTGTTTACGTACACTCAAACACTTACATGTTGGGTTGTGAATTCTCTTGTGTTTGCCAAATTTGGGTTGTAAATCCATAAATTATTATTGTAAATCCTTAAATTTCACTTGCTCATTTGCATTTAAATACTTACATTTGGGGTTATGAATTCTATTATGTTATTTGTAAATTGCTTAATTTTTGTTATAAATTGCTGAATTCCACTTGTAAGTCGTCGAAAATTTCACTTGTTTACTTATATTTGGACAATTGCGTTTGTTTTGTTATATATATTTTTATTTGCATCATATGATTGAATGGTTTGCTTGGTTTGATGGTTACAACACTTTTGGTGTGCCAAGAGATCATGGGTTTAAACCCTTCCTTGGTCACCTTTTTTTAAATAAAAAAAAATTTCGGCCACCAGAGCTACAGTAACGACCATCAGAGGTCCAATCCCCAATGGCAGCTTCCTGAGCGACGATGGCCGGACCTTCGACCTCCGGTGGCCAGAATAGTGGCGTCCATTAATATTTATTTTTTAATAAAATAAAAGGGAGGGGTATTATTGTAATCTTACTCTAAATTTTAATTCCAATTTAGTCCCTTAGTCTTGCAGTGATATTTCAGAATGTTTTGAGAGTTTATTGATGTAAATTCTCTTCTGCGCTCCTTAATTGAAATTTTTCCTTAAATATAAACCATTCAAACCTAATAAGTTTGGTATCCTGATTTAAGAGGTCATGGTTGTGTCAGATGAATAATTTTTCTCTCTCTTTCCCTCATTAGCTCTCGTTCTCTCGGTTTGGAAAGTCTTTCACGCTCATTCTCCTCTCCTCTGCTGGAAAGCAGAACGTTGCAGCCTCTCTACTGTGACGTCCGTTGGATCTTCACTATCACATCCGTTGCGTCTTCACCCTGAGTGCCGTCCAGTGCTGGGACCCTAAATGCATCGTTTGTAATGTAGTAGCAGTTAGTCCAGTGATGCACATAATGACGGAGAAGCCGATGGTTGGTTAGTTCCCTTTTGCTGTTCCCAACCCACTGGCTTGGGGTCCTCCACTTACCCATCAATCTAAGCCTTCTGACCACTCGCATCGTCGCGTGTTCGATTTCGCGTGCGCATATCTAAGCATCTTGCATTATTGGTCGATTCCCCTCCACGACCCTCACCGGTAAGGTTTCGGGGTTCTCTTATTCGATTGCCAAAATTAATTGTGCGTTTTGTTCTTCCTTGATTCCATCCCGAGATTCTTAACATTTCTTTCCTATTGCTTCGGATTCTAATTATAAAAGTTAATTAACTAATTTGTAATAAATAGGTGTTATTTTTCCTAAAATATTTTTACTAATCAAATGTGGTTGTTAGAATTACTATTCTTATAAGGACTAGAACTACTATCATTAAAATTTAGAAGAACTGTCTTAGAAAAAAAATATATAAATATGAAAGACAAAACAAATTGAGATCTTATATTTAAAAATAAAATAAAAGTTAAATAAGATCTTATATTAAAGACTAGAGGGCAGTATAACTTAAGATTTTAAAATATATTTTGGTAATTAAATTTCATTTTTCATATTAAAATAATTCAAATTTATTGTATTATTTAAATTTATTCTTTTATCGTTTTTTATTGTTTAATAAAATTTATATCTATTTTGATAATTGAACAAACTAAACTCATTTTTATTTAATCACAATTTAAATAATTTTTTACTTAATCTAATTTTTGGAAACCAACATTTATAAAATCTTATCTATACATAATTTATATCACTTAATTTGATTTTTACCCAATATAATTTTTTTAAAAATTAAATTAAAAAGTTATTTTTTTTCATCTAATCCCAATAAACCCATATTATTAGGTTCTGATCGTCATGTCCAAAGATATCAAATTTAAATTTTGAAAGTCCGTTTGGAAATTAGAGGCATGATTAAAGCTTCCATTTTCTTTGTTGGTCAACAATTAGCCATGGTTGTCAAACTTATGAGTTGACTCTCCAACTTTAATATTTTTACATTTTTAGCTAACAAAATTGTGTTGATTCACTTTTAAACTCGTGATAACTATAAACTCAGTTAAACTCACGAGTTCGTTTACCGAGTTTACTATTTTTACGTTTTAAGCTTACAAAATCATGTCAACTCGCTCTTAAACTTATACTAAATTTTTAAATTTAATTATATTTGGTGACTTTATATATGAATTTTGTAGAAATTTTTTTGTTGAATGTGACAAATTATGACATTGATGGATATAATTTGAATTATTTAAATTTAAAATATTTTTATATAAAATAGTTCTCATTTTTCATATATTAATTATTTGATTATATATTTTTAATACCAGTTTATTAATAAAAGTAAACTCTTATGAGTTCACCATTTGAGTTTACAATCTGAGTTTATTTCATTCTCACGAGTTTGTTTAAACTCGTGAGTTTGACAATCTTGCAATTAGCGCTTACTTTGCAACCTGCATTATTTTGCCATAATCATATCATGTGAAAATATTCCAAAAAACAATCCATTTTATTTATTATTAATATTATTTTGTGTTGATTAGGAGGCTCAAATTTTCGCCGTCTGCAACGTAACAGCTTTGGTTAATTGAGCCATGGAAGAGAGGCGCAATTTTAACGACATAGTTGCAGAGCCACTCACGAGAAAAAGCCGTTTTCATTGGTTCAAATGGGTTAAGAACTATCTGATATCTCAAGATCTTTGGGAAGTGACGAATAGCAGCGCAAGACCAGACGAAAAACTTTGGGAAGATTTTGCGAAATGGACAAGAAAGAATGCCGCAGCATTACACGTCATTCGTATCTCTTGTGGGGCTCACAATCACTCTCGTATAGGAAGCGTGTCTGAAGCCAAGCTTGCGTGGGACACTCTCCATAGTACCTACTATGCAACACCACTTCCTCCCTCACCACCTGGTCAGTGCCCTAGCTAATCATGTCTAGAGATTTATATATATACGTGAATTGTCATTATTCCTAGGGCTATATGTGTGAAAACATATTCCTATAACTTTAAAAAGGTTTTTAAAATAATTAGGGACACCAACCATACATTCCAAAAAATGGCTCTTATAATTAGAGATGGAAAGAGCACTATATATATATAGTTATTAGTGTCTCAAAAAATATGGCCCTTCTTTGTTTGTAAGTCTACTGACTATTCTCTTATTGCCCTCCTACTCAAAATATAATTGAGTGGTGATTACGTACAGTGTTAACGGGGGCAGAAGAATTAGAGATGAGTATTCTGCACAAGGCCATAGCTGAAAACAACTGGTCGACTGTGAAAGCAATCATTGATCGCCATCCTAAGGTATTGAACGTAGATTTTGCCACGTCAATGGGCGAAACACCTCTTCACGTGGCTGCAAAGTTTGGGCATCTGGGCATAGTAGAGGAGTTGGTGAGATTAGTTCCAGAAGAATATCTGGAGATACGCGATGCTTACTATGGCAATACTCCACTTGCAATAGCTGCTTCGCATAGTGAAGTCATCCCGGTTGCAACATGCTTGATCAACAAAAATAAAAAGGCACTTGAAATTCCAACTCAAAAAGATTGGGAGATTCCTGTTAACTCGGCTTTTTTATCTGGCCACAAGAAAATGGGACGTCATCTTTATTCAGTCACTCCTTTGCAAGTCTTCAAACCAGCAGAAGACCGCACTGTGGGGCCTCAGTTCCTCCGCTGCTGTTTGAGCCTTGGAGAATTAGGTAACATAACTACTGTTAGATAAATAATTTTATACGCAGCATAATAATTTATGTGTTTCATTTTCGGGTTAAGGTATATTTTAGCCCCGAAAGTTTTCACGAAGGAACTGTGGGTATCCAAAAATATTTTGAGGTAATGTGGTTCCGGAAGTGACAAACTCGTAGAATGTCGTCATATTTCAACGGAGTTAAACGGTCAACTGTTAGTTTACCAATTTGTTTTGGGGTGGTCCTACCATATGGAATAGTACGCCACATAATAAAAAGGAAATACCAAACCTGTCCCTATCTTCTTGCTCCTCCACCACACGTTCTATGGGAAGAACCCAAAAACAAATGTAGACCTGAATATTTCTGGGCTTACCTTCATCCCTCACTGTTCAACCTCTTGTTCTGGTTTTATATTTTTTTTTTAATATTTCTGGGTTTATATTCATGTTTGCTGTTCGGTTTTGAATTTGGATTTCAAAATCTATTGTGATCTTTTGGTTGATTTTAATTAATGAAGTTGGTCATAGTGAGGCTTGAGTATTTGGAGAGGTACTGTGAAGAGCTGAAGATACCCATAAATATCATAATCAATCCAAACTGCCATTGCTGTGTGAAAATTTGGCCGACACTGATGCTATGCCAGAGTCTCTTTGATGATCTTAAATTTTCTCTATGACATGCTTGAGTCTCCCGTATGAATGGCATTTTGAAGTACTCCAATTAGTCGAGACTTGAGTCTCCTGAAGCAATTAAGAGCAAAGATACGAAGGTTGCTGTAGGTTGTCGAGGAGGATGGTGAGAATAACTAAGAGCAGGGGCGCGAATATCTAGAAAGAAGATGAAGAAGCCATGGAATGCTCTAAACTAAAATTCTCCATGGATGCGGATGATGATGATGAAGGGTAGAGATTTGCATTTTTCTAGATTCGTTTTTCTTCTCATATTGGTTAACTGTTGATCTGGGTTTAAAAATTTTTTATGGGACTGATGATAATGATGCAGGGGCGCGAGTATCTAGATTCGTTTTTTCTTCTCATATTGGCTAAGTGTTGATCAGGGTTTAAAGTTTTTTTATGGGACTGATGATAATGATGCAGGGGAAAGGTTTCTTTTATTTTTTTCCAGTAAGGATTGTGATGATGTGGCACGTTATGTGACATAATATTTAATATCACAGATCCACCTCAGTACAAATTGGTCACCGAAAACTTTCAAGACAAAAATGTCATTTTACCCTTTTCATTTTCCCCCGTCAGTTTATGCATGTGGCTTTTTTCCATTTCTGATACTATATGATGTTGGTGCATAAATAGATATTGCCTTGGATTTGCTCCAACGATGCAAGGAGCTGCTTTTTGCTACTGACATAAACAAGGACCCAACAATTCGGAATATTGCACGCTATCTTCCTAAGTCTCTGAACACAAGTCAACTTCCGTTCTGGAAGCGATGGCCGTATCACTGTCAGTGCATGTTATTACTTTCTACTACTCTCTGTTTTTCCCTACAATTTTTTTTATGTTGTTTGATCATTTTAATTATACACTAGCCAAAATGGTGAATTATGATGATGAGGATAAAGATGGTGAAGATGAAGTTATTTTAACTGCCACTGGTATTCATCTACTAAGGCTCTTTGAAAATTTGGTGAAACATTTATGAAGTATTTCCAAAAATAATGTTGGCAAAATTCCAAAAATACAATTTATGCAATTGACCCTCAATTTATTGGAAAATATTATCTCTGACTTTATTATTATTTCTGACTTTATGTTTCATACAAACAATCCCTCAATTTATTAGGTGGCGGCGGCAATTAATTGATACTATTTACGTAATTTACTTGTGCTTTCTAGTTATTTATTGCAATATTATTCGAAGAAGCTTATGTGTTCCATTTCTTTGATCACATTTGGGTGGAAGATGTCAAAATACCATCAACCACAACCACTGGGCATTTCTGCGTAGATATTCAGCAAGAAGGCGAGAGCAACCAACCTGGTCAAGGTACAAAATTCTCTCTGACTTTAGAAGATGAAATTAAGTAATATTATATGACTATTATTATAGAACATAGATTATACAATGTAAAGTAAAGTTACGTTTTTCAATTTATTCATTAAAATCCATGTCAACAGGCCTAGGTCTATTCCATTGGCCCATCTCCAGCATCTATAATTTGTTAGGTATGTATGTAAGTATAGCAAAAAGTTTCCCCAGAACTTAAATTGGATGCCCTTAATATTTTAATTCTATTTGATTTGCCAATGGTGCAGGAATCAAGAAAATATATGAGATGAAGCTACAGCATGCACGAGCAGCTGAAATTCTAAACTTAGTTTGTGAGAATCTGATATATTTGGATAAAGAAAAGAAGAAAATGGTTGGAAAAGCACTGATGTCTGCATGTCGAAATGAGAATGTCGAGTTTTTGTTGCGAGTAAGGAATGCAAACACAGAATTGATAACGCTAATTACTTTTGGTGGGCCAGACTTGCCCATTGTCTTCGATGCTGTTAAATTTCGTAGAGCTGAGATTTTCAACCTCCTCCGTGGTTTTCGCTTTAACAATGTGGCGGCGACATTACTTGATTGCGAGAACTCAAATACCTTGCTGCATGTGGCAGCCATGTTAGCTCCTTCTTTCTACCTTGACCGCATCTCTGGTGCTGCATTGCAGATGCAAAGAGAGATGCAATGGTTCAAGGTTAGTTAGAAGTGAAATTTAATGCTCTTTCCTTCGATATTGTGTCTTTTATTAATTACTTATTATGTATTTATTTTTCTTGTAAACATAGGCCGTCAAGGATCTGGCGGATACTGGAGAGAGGCTAGTTCTAAACAAGGACTGGTTGACGCCTCTAGAGTATTTCAAAAAAAACCACAAAGAGCTAAGGGCTGATGGAGAAAAATGGATGAAGGAAACAGCGTCTTCTTGCTCAGTTATTGGGGCTCTAATTGTTACCATCATGTTTGCTGCAGCTTTAACAATTCCCGGAGGGAACAATCAGAATTCAGGGTACCCAATGTTTATGAAGGAGAAGCTATTTAAAGTCTTTTTAATTTCAGATGCACTTTCTTTGTTTTCTTCCACAACTTCTGTGCTCACATTTTTGGGAATCCTCACGTCACGCTATGCAGATGAAGACTTCCTTTTCTCGTTACCCAGAAAATTGATAATAGGTCTTTCTACACTGTTTCTGTCTATTGCAACTATGATGATTGCCTTTTCAGCAACAATAATGATCATGTTGCAATATCACTCATCAAGTTTATGGGTTATTCTTCCTGTTCCTCTACTTGCTAGTGTTCCTGTAACCCTCTTTGTATTATTACAATTCCCTCTTCTTGTTGAAGTATTCTGGTCTACTTATGGTCCAGGCCTCTTCAAGAAGGAAAAGAATTGGCCATGAGCTGTGCATGTAATTTATTCGCATCTTACTATATATGTATTATTTTCTGTTGAATAAAAATTTTTCTCTTGAGGCTCAATCGGGTAACAATGCAATTATTTATATTCAGAACGTATATATATATATATATATATTGATGTAGTTATCTCAAATTAATTAGATTAATTAATTGACAAGACTTGGCTATGTATGTGCGGATGAATTATTTATTTTTAACGGGAACAAATCAGACGATGAAATGGGCCCAAACCAAACCAAAGGAGTCACATGGACCTAATACATAAGATGGGCCGATGGTACTTTGTAACTAAGATTAAGAGCAATTTTAAAGAATCATGGAAGTCCCTCCAACAGTTGTTGACTGATCTAGGGTCTAACTTGTTTCCAATATTAGGTTTTGTTTTACCAAGATCTATGTAAGCACGCACTTCACATCTTATTACTTCATGTATTTCTGTTGGACAAGAATTTCTGATCCCTTTGAATCTTATCATCTAAAGCACCATGCACGAACATTGATAATGTTGTGACTATAGCAGGAATACATATGGGCCTATTATAGTTTGAATCCAAATAAGGTCGAACAATTTAAATTTAAATTAATAAAAAGTTTAATTGCATTCATGAGCCCTTTTTTCATCAATAATAAGAAATAAAGTTATGGTTGAGATTTTTTAAATTCAGATTTAAGAGATCAAAATCATCCATGCAATAAAACAGAAAACTTTATATTCTTTTTTTAAATTTTCAATGAATTAATATCACAAAAAATTACGGTCATTCCTTGGCTGTGTGTGTGTGTGTGAGAGAGAGTACCCCGTCAAATTAAAAGCCTCAAAAATCAAGCTGCTAATGATCATTCCTTTCAAGGAACCATTGATGACTGTTTTCATAAGTTTCGCATAAATGGAGAATGTAAAAAGTACTGCTAATTATCCAACCAGATAGCGTCATGAAATTATAGAGTTGTTAATAACAGGTTTTTTAGAAAATTAAAAAGGACAATATGATCATTTTAATAAACTTTGAAATTCTTATTTATATCTATATGATTAAAATGGATGTTTTTATTATTCAGATAACTATTTATAAATTTTTAAATTTGACTATCATTTTCTCAAATTTCAATGGTGCAAAAAGCTAGAGTTTAATTTTTTTAAAATTCAAATTTTTTGCCAACTTTTTTAAATTCAAATTTATGATATTAAAATCATTAATATATAAGATTTATTACAATCTTCAATTAATTAATATGGCAAATCACAATCTGGGTGTGTGACAGAGAGAGAGAGAAGATTCGTATCTCGTGACCAAAGCGCACTACAAAAAATTCGACCTTCAGCGGTGACAAAAGTCGCCGCTGAAAGTCCCAAAGTCGCCGTTGAAAAGTTTCAGCGGCGACATTTTGTCGCCGCCAGGTCATCGCCGTAGCGGCCGTGGCTGAAACTTATCAGCGGCGACAAAAATAGTCGCCGCTGAAAGTCATATCAGCGGCGACTTTTCGTCGCCGCTGAAAGGTGAGAGTTTACCACGGGAAAGAGTCGCCACCAAAACATAAGAATCAGTGGCGACTAATGTCGCCGCTGATTGTGGCTTCAGCGGCGACTCTTTTGTCGCCGCTGAAGCTTGTTTTAGTGACGACGCGCGTCGTCTCCTCATATAGCCATCGCATGCATGGCAGATCAGAAGGCCCCCACAGTTACTATTGTGTGGTCACTATCACCGTACATCAAGTCGTTCAAGCTCTTTATGGCCATTACACATGCATGAGGGCCAAGCGCATGTGTACGCACAAGGGTAGTGAAATTATTTTCTTGGGGAACAGCACCTTTTCTACGAGAACAACTTTTTCTCATCCTCTCGTTTACACGAGATCTAACGATCTCCCCTTCATTTTAAAGTAATTGTCACTTTAATTTGGAGTTATGCGTAAATACCCTAATGTTCCCAAAATCAGAGAGCAAGAGAGTAGACGGAATAGTAAGACGAAATTGGGAGAGAAAACAATTGAGTTTTCTTGTCCCCCCCCGGGCCAATGCACATGACTTCAACTTTTTGTTTTTGCCTATGATCACAAAGAAATAAAGAAGAATATAATCACATTAACCACAAGAACATTTAAGCTAAATAATCCTAAGAGTTAAGAGTGATGGACATTTACACACATGCAATGTTTATAATTCTTCCGGTTCATAATGCAACACATTAGTTAAGCTTTCTGGCAAACGAAGTAATGTTGATTAAATCATTAAATATGTTTTAAATTAATAAAGGTTACCTATTCTATTCTTATTAAAGATTGAGATTGGGAAACTCTTTAATCTCTCTTCTTCATTTAAAACTGTCTTCCTTTTTGCGATAAAAGCTAAAAGTGAAAAACTATTATTAATTACTCCATCAATATCTTATATTTTGAACCAAAATTTTCTTCTAAAATACTTCTTATAATATGGAGAAGAAGGAGTAATAAATAGAGTTGATAATCTCTTATTAAATCCTTATACTTCCTCTATTTTAAAATATAAATCTTGTAATACTGAAGTTTTTTTTTAAACCAAAAACAGGATGTATATTATTAATCACACCAAAAAAAATCATAGTACGCGCGAATAGCCAAAACCAAGAAACGTAAAGAAGACCAAAAGAACACTCACAGTACAACTTATCAGAAAAAAATTGACAAAAACTATAGAGACTATTGACTACATTACCAAATTTATCCTTAGTTAACGTGATGAATAAATTAAAGTCATTGAAGCAAACAAGGATATATCAAAATAGTATTAGTAAATGCTTCCTTTTTTTTTTTTTTGCCACCGAGTAAATACTTCTTTACACTTCTAGAAAGACATATAACATGGAACGAAAATGTTTCTCAAAAAGACTTATCATAATTTGAAAAAGAGGGATATTATTATGATGATTAAAATAAACACTCCTAATTTATTGGAGGATGAAATTAAATTATATTGTGAAAAAACTTTATATTTTCTTGAAAGCCTAAAACAACAATCATCTTGAAACAGAACTCAACCCGAGTGAATATATATCCTCCTACCAGCTGAGATGCTAGGAGTTACAAATGGTCTAGAATTCTGTTGGAATCCGGGAATCAGGAAAGTGGAAGCATGTTGCGATTGGGCAGGAGCCATCAACCTTTTTCTCTAGAATCAAGCCAATAATCATTCCTTTCAAGATACCATTGATGATACCATCAAAATTTTAGGTTGTTTTTACAGATTTTGCATATAGAGAATGTAAAATCTAACTAATTAAACAGAGCCATGAAATTACTGATTTTTTTCCTCTGATCTCTGCATTGTTTACCTTCGATCATGAATGAAATTTCCGTTTTATTATTCATAAAAGGAAAAAAAATAAAATAAACCAACTCCCCAAAAATGACGTTAATAATTCTGGAACAGTAGGCTAGTACGGCATGGTCATTGGGAATTATAGTACTCCTCCAGTCTTAAATATAAGACCCTTTACATCAAGTGGTTGAATTGCCTTATTACTCACGGTTGGGGAGTTAAAAAGGGATGCGGCTTCTCTCCTTGATCCCTTCCCATCCATTACCCTTCTTTGTCTGAAACTGCAACGTTTTGGTGTAGTTTAGTTGAGGTGGTACTTTTTGTAAATAAATATCTAATATTCTAAAATATTATTTTGGTATCACTTAGTCTCTTAAAATATATTTTTCAGCATCACCTAGTATTCTAAAATAATTTGTGATCCCATCAGAGTCTTGAAATATTTTCTCTTTGACACATAGTATATGACTTTTAGCACACTGAAATATTTTCTTAATATCATGTAGTATCCAAAGACATTTTTTAATTGGCGCTTAGTTTCTTCAAATATTTTTTGGTGCAATATTGTAGGGTATTGAATGCACTAAAAATTAATTTGGGATACTAGGTGTTACTGAAAAATACTTTAACATGCAGGAAGCTAGACACTGGGTGTTACAGAAAAAAATTTTAGGGCTTGGACTGGATCAAACATTATTTTAGAATATTGGGTGGTATTGAAAAAAAAAAAAAGAGAATACAACATGGTACTAATAAAAATATTTCAATGTGCTAAAAGCTGGATACTAGGTGTTATAGGAAAAATATTTTAGGGCTTTGATTGAACCAAAAATTATGTGGTACTGAAAAAAAATACTTCAGTATGCTAGAAACCAAATACTAGATTTCATAGAAAAAATATTTTAGGGCTCTGACTGAGCAAAAAATTATTTTAGAATAATGGGCGATATTAAAAAAATATTTCAAGATACTAAGTGATACTAAAAAGACACTTTAGGATATTATATGCTGATTTGACCCAAAAAAAAAGGTTTCACCTCACCTAAACTCCACCAAAATGATGTAGTTTCGGGTAAAGGATGGTAGCAGATGGGAAGGGGTAAAAGAGAGAAGCCAGATTAGCAGTTGACTTCTAGCATTGCAAAGACAATACTTACTAGTTACTGCAAACCATCTACCTCAGAATTTTGTTGTTGGAAAAATTATAGTGAAGTTTTAAAAATGCAACACCTAACTTTCTATATACCAGTAGGGTCCACTTAACATCTGTGGATCACTAGACGCCAGTGTTCTATTATAGAAAATGACAAAAATTTTTTTATATATTTATATAAATACTGACGAGTGATTCACACACTTGAACCCTACTTCTGAAGCACACATGACAGGCACACAGATTTAAAATAATACTACTATTATATAAGTTACTACCCTGGTTATTCAGGACAATAACCCTTACCTGAGCACTGAAAGTACACACTCCCTTAAAGAAGGATACAAAATAGTATAATTACTAGTAAGTGGGGGTTACTTGCTCTTAAACATCTAATAAGTCAGATAATTAAATATCAAAATAATTATTCTATAGGTACAAAAGCAGCAGGCATTCCTGCTCTTCATACAAGCCCACCTTCAGCACTTATGACCTCCTTACTCTTGGAATTACTTGCTCTAGCTGTATAATAT